TAAGTATGAATCATCTTGTAATAAAGACACAGATAGTTTACATTTATAATGCATAAAAAATGTTCAGGATTGCTTTCTGATGTTTTCACCAGAAATCCTTTAGAAATAACACAAATAAAATTTTCATTTTACAGTTAAAGAAACTAAGACTCAGAGAGATAAAGAGATTGCCCAGGTCCTACAGATGTTTAGGGTGGAGATGGGTTGCAGAGTGGGTCTTCTGACAGCCATCCTCTTTCTACAATGGTTTGCCACCACACACATTTATGGTATTTGAATATCTTTCTGACCTAAGCTCCAGGCCCAAATATAAAATGCTTAATTAAAGTGATAAGTTGTGGTGTTAGGTACTCATCTCCTCAGATGACAATCAAAGTCCTCTCCTCACCCAAGGGAATGACGGTTCACATTGACTTTCCTTTTCCCTTTGGGCAGACTCCTGACTCACTGCCTGAAGAGTTTCATCTAGAATGATGATTATCTGTCCACTATTAACTATATGGTGTCACATGGGAAACTGAATTTAAAGAAATCATACTGCTAATGAGACAATCAGATGAGTAGTCTATTTGGGCGTGGTTCATTTTCATTTAATGGGATGTTTCATTAAAGCCATATTGACCGCATATGCAGTTTGGCGATTTGGAAGAACTTTAAAGTTGGGTCTATACAAGCAGAATGAAGGAAATTCTGTTGATTCACTGGGTAATAAGCATCATGTGGTTGCCATGTGATTTATTAAGCTTTCCAAGCTTCACCTCAATATTGGGTTCACAGGGATAAAGTGCATTACATTTTTGATGATGGACCAAAGCCTAATGCTACTGGTCTCATTTGTTTGAAAAGAACAATTAAGAGGCCTTTCAAACTTTTTAGCCACAGCCTCCTTGAAGGTGGGATTCATGTTCAATGTTGCAAAATGTGCCTGCTGATGATTCTTTTCCTTTTTTTCTTTTTAGCAGTACTGGGGTTTTGAACTCAGGGCCTTCCACTTGCCAGGCAAACACAATACCAATTGAGCCACAACTCCAGCCCTTGCTTTTTGCTCTTAAATAAGCTTGTGTGGAAAAACGTAAAGCTCTACTCTACCATGAACCCAACCTAAAAAAAAACAGATTTGTATGAAATAGGCAATAATTGATATTATTGTATGCTTACTATGTGTCAGACACTGTGCTAAGTGAAAAATCAGTAAACATATTATCTAATTTAATCCACATAACAAATGTACAGGGTATCCTCTTTCTGTATATAAAGAGGCTGAAATCATGCAATTTTAATTTTCAGAGTAGGACGAGAATATCCTAAATATTGGCCTGCAGGGAATGCTGATCCACAAACTGCTAGAGGCACTTGAGTGATAGTTTCATCTGACTGACAGAATTAGAGGAACTCAAATGCTGCCTTAACTCTTTTGCTTTATATTACAATCATTTTAAACTTTAATTCCCAAATTCTTTGACTTATATCCATTTTGCCCAATTCATTCTTTCAATTAGAGACATCAAAATAACTATATCCAAAAAAAACACTTGAAAGAAATCTTGAACCAAAACATAATGATTTACTGAATTTTTACTCAGTTAGATCTGGATAGGAATCCTCCAGACTAAGCCTCTGTGAACACTAGCTGCCTTATCTGTAAAATTACCCTACAAGTTCTATGAAGAGACAAGTTAAAATAGCTGCAATGTATTTAAAATGTGTGAAAGCAACACATAATTCAAATTGTTGCTGCTATTACAAATAAACTCACAAAGAAATAAAGTTACATAAGAAGGGAAGCACGGTACATTGTATGAATTAAATCAGGCAGCTGCCTTTTGACCAGGAAACTCTCTCCTAATGCTGCTAAGCATTCATTCTCGCTGATCTGAGCTGCTTTTGTAGGAAGGGAAGGGAGCTCTTGCTAGCACAGAGAAAAATCATTCTCTTTTTCTCTCTCCCACTCCCTAACCCCAGCTGCCTTACATTTTCAGTAAAATCAGAGCTGAGTTTAGTGTGGAGCCAGAATTCCCAGACCATGATATTCCCTCTCTAGCCTTGTTGTGCTGTCATTAAGTAGCCAAAATGGATATGATTTTTCAAATGGAAGACACACTTACTCCTTACTCAGCAGCTAGCTAAGCCTGACCAAGCGGACCCTTAGTTTCATTTGCTAACCAAATTACAACTACAGAGTCATCATATTCACCAAGCCTAGGCATCTGTACTTTAAGCAATATATCCAAATGGGGACATGGAGAAAACTCCTTGGGTATACTTTTAATTTGGGGGCTGGGATAGAAAGGGGGGCTGTTAGAACCTGTGGTTTAAAAAAAAAAAAACAATCTAAGATACAAAGCCCCAGTGTGTTCCTGAAAGCAAAAGCCACCAAATGAAATTCACTCTATTGACCAAAGCTACGACCAACATTTTCATTCTGCAAAATGTTTATTCTGCAGATTTTCACTGGCCTTTCCCAGCCTTGTATTCCTCAGTAACGAAGTCAACCCTATCAATGCATCAATGTCTAGTAACTCAGTATGATTAGCACCCATTTACTGGTCAAAGCAACTTATCCAAGATAGTGGAAAATACTTCAGATTTTTCATTTATAATTTTTAACTTATGATTTAGTAGTTTCTATGATCATAGGGTTATGTTCCCTTTGGTAAAGCTCAGTAGTGAGTAAATTAAAACTGCAAATCATGGAAACAGAAATGAAAGACCCACTAACTTCTCCCTGAGGCATAATTATTCAACCTTAGCGCACTGCATTCCTATAATCCTAAGACTGTCAGGTGGGAAAAGAAAAGATACCAAGTCCACTAAAGTGTGCAATTATGAGTCATGGTTATATTACTAAGCATAATTCTGACACAAATGGGCATCACTGAATAAGTACTGCTTACAGGAGGAGGCCACCTTGGCTTCAAGAAAGAATGGCTTAAGTTTACTGATATGCAGATATAAAGTACACAATTGCTTACATGTCTTCATAAAGTACAAATTAATTCATATCCTAACTAGGCATTTGGAATGCTAACCTAGTTTTCTGTGTTTAGCTAATAGCTAGCAATTTTGCTTACACTTTTATCCTCTCATTACACAGCAATGATTATTTAGTAAATACCTGTGAAAGGCCACACACACTCCATAGCACTCCTCTTGGGTTGGAAATAATCTCCCCCTAATATTTCTATTTGAATAATTTAGTTGCTGATACATCAAATCAAAAACAGCTATGACAGGTATTCCACTAAGGCCCCCTTTGGAGGCTAAGGAAAGACTCAGCTTGTTCTTCTATGTCATTGCCTGCCAAAATTCAGGGTAAGGACTGAGGACAAAGAGGATGCTGGGGGGAATCCAGGACCTTGACAAATGTTATCCCTTTGTCAACCTTTTGTGAACTCAGATGCCTTGTTGATATTTATGATGCTGGAAAGAGATAGGAAAAGGCTATTTTATAGCTAGTGAAGAAGTCCAGAGCAAGAAAAAGAGCTAGAATAGACATGAAAAAGAAAAAAATGTGACCTTGTGGGATGCCACCCAGTCCATCCCTGAACACAGGACTTGTATAGGAGTCACCTGAGGATTTTCACTCCCAGAGGCAGGACAGATTAAGAGAGCTCCCACTAGGGGAGTTGGGGTGACCCCAGGGCATTCTTTTCTTGTCTGCCAGAACAATATAACTCACTAAAGTAGGATGGTCAAGACCCAAACAATGATTTCTGGTAACAGTTTCCCATTCCTGCTTTATGAGGAGAGAACTGAAACTAAACAGTGATGTTGGAAACTGGGCCCAGGGTAAGGGCAGAGGAAGGGTTTTAATATCCAGAATCACATGTGGCTTCGGGGATTGAGAATCGAAGGACTGAAAAGGAAGAGACAGGACACCTGTCCTTCTACCCCAATGCTGCTCAAAAGTGTCTGCTCACAGGTGCAAGGTTCCTGCTCTCCTCCTCTGGTGACTTCATGGGATGTTGGCTCAGTCCCCAATTCTGCAGAGGGAATGCAGGCAGAAGGGAGCATTGCAAATAGGCTTCTGTTTAAATGGCAGGTGTGAAGGGAAATGGAGTGAGTGCTGGTCAATGGGAGGAGCCACTGAACTGGGGAATACTGCTGGTCCTAGTGCTTTCCCTCACAGTGCCTTCCATGCCCAATCTCCTGCACCAACAAAGACACTGCTCAGAAATAGGATCCTTCCTAATGAACAAACACTCACTCAGGCTAAGGCAAGCAGGGGCTCTATTTCGTTCACCTGAACACCCTGGGTTCTCATTTGCTTTTAAAACTACAGGCTGGCACAAGTAGTCTGAGATCAGAGCCTGAGCTAGCACATCCTTGATATCGGGATTTAAGACTACCATGGAAAGTGGTATTTGACAGATTGTGTTGTTTCAGATGGATTTTTCTTTTATTTGTGGTGGGGGAGGGCATGCCACCAGGTTTTCAAGCATCACAATAAATGGGTCTGTGTTTGGGGAAAGCGTGGAGGACTCTTCACCTCCCCAGTCCCTGCTGGTATTTCCCAGTCCTGCATCCTCCCGCAGTCTCTTCAAAGTGCCTAGAGACTAGGGCAAGGACCTGCGTCCATTTTGCCAGCCAGGAGCCACCGAGTTTGGGAACTTTGAAAGCCAGGGGATGCGGGTGGGGGTTGCCAAGGCTCCGATTTCGGCGCCAGAGTTCTCAGCCAGAAGAGCAGTTGAAAATCAACACCCAATCTGCCTCTTCTTTCTCATCTCTTGTCCCCTCTCCTTTCTGCCTTCCAGGACGCCACACAGGTCCTACTCCCACCACACACACACACACACACACACACACACACACACACACACACACACACACACACACTTGGGTTTAGAAGGTTTTTGATTCTGAAGACAGTAAAGCCGCAGAACAGAAAGGGTCTGTGCCACCCCCCTCCTTGCTTCCCGCCTGGCGTCTACACTGAAATCCCATAAATTCCAAGCATTAACATAACCCAAACCCGCCCGTGACTCCAGCACGTCCCGTACCTGATATGCAGACGATGAAATTGGCTTGAAGAAGAAAAAGCACCTCCCAGACTATTTCCATCCTCTGATTCTCATTCCAAGTGCATCACTCGACGGGAAAACAGGGGGAAGGGGGAAGCCCAACACGGCACACACACATACACACACGCACACACTCCCAAGCGAGCCCACACTCGCACTCCCACCCGGCAGCCAGCCAGGGACAGTCACCCCCCAAGATCAATATCGCAGTTTGAAGTGTTCCGGCAAATCTCCCCTCGGGCTCGACGGATGTGCGCCCCAGATGTGCTGACACATGTCCGATGCCTCGCGGCCTCGGAGGTCTCCCGGCTCGCGTGTCCCTGCTCCTCGCACCAGCGGTGGGAACAGCACTAACAGCGGTGGTGGCGACGGCAGCCACCTGAAGCCACCAGCGCTGGGCTCTTTCTGCAAAACCAAGACCCCGATCCTCCTGGCGCCCCAAGAAGACATAGACGATAGCCCCCCGCCGGGCCGCGCGGTGCAGTTCCGGGCTCCCGGCAGCTGGTAGAGTTCCCTGGCTAAACCCAGGCAGTCCGCGACAAGTTGCCCTCGAAGTCCGCCCCCCTCACCGGGGCATGGTCAGAGGGTGGCTGCTGTGCTCTGCTCCGCTCGGGGCCGTTCTCTTCCTGCTTCCGGGGGGCGGGGAGGAGGACCAGACACAGCACACAGACAGAGACAGAGAAAGAGAAGCAGGGATTATTGCCCGGAACCTCCGGCCACCAGCAGCTTCTGCCGACCCGCCCAGCTCCCCAAGTCCGCGCGCAGCCTGGCGCCTCTGAGCTGGGTTCGGCCGCGAGTCCAGGAGGCCGAGCAGAAAACCAAGCACTAGGGATTGGGGCGCGTCGGGGGCGCACTGGTTCCCCACGTCGCAAGCGCGCTTTCTGCTCCTCTGCTATTTTCCAGGGCTCCCCAGGACCCCCAGTTGCTTCGTTTCCATCGTCCGCAACTAGCGCCGCCACCGAAATTTTCCGCAATGCAACTGCAGGGGTCGTTATTTCCTCGCCTACGGATCCCGACGCTTCCCGATTCAGAGAGGAGGGGGAGGGCAGGTGGGGGCAGGAGAAGGAGGAGTAGGAAAAGGAGGCTCGGCCAGGTGAGCGTCCTTGCTGTCGCCTGGAGTCCCAACGTCAGTCGGGCTGCCCGGCGCCCGGGGGCGGAGGCACAAGTCCAGGGTGGGGAGGTGAGGTTTAACCCTGCCATCAGGAGGAGGAGAAGGCTAGGCGTCAGAGCGTCAGGCCACCTTGGTCACTGCCTGGGCCCCAGCCCCTGGCGGCCGCCTCTGTGCTCTGCCCCGCCCGGCTGCCTCGGTTATCTTCCAGCATCTTTGAGTTTCTTTTCTCCTTAAAAAGAACTTCGCGCCTGCTGGTTCGGCGCGGGAGACCCGCGCGGGACTCATCCTGGAAGTGCTGTGCTATGCTCTCCCTCCGCTGCGGAATATTGGGGATTTTTTTTTTTTTTTGCATAATTCATTTCCTGCCCTCTCCCTTTCGTCCCTCTCCCGCCCCCTCCTCCTTCCCCTTTTGGCTCTAGTGCCAGAACTACTTACCCCAGAGTTCTCTCTGCAGGTTCCTAGACCAGGTGCAACTCTTGTCTGCAAGTCCCTCACCTCCCTCCTCCCGGAAGAGGGGAAAGCCGTCTTTCTAAGTCCGGGTGTCAGCAGCCGCTGCTGCCAACTGCGCCTCTACCCAGCGCCGGGAGGATCCAAGACCACTGGAAACCCCGGCCTTCGGGAACGGTTTCCCTTCTCGTTTTTTCTTTCACTCTGTTTAAGGAAGCCCTAGTGCTTTGGAGGCTTTTGCCCCAGGATACTCTCCGCCAGCAACACTCGGCAGCTTCCAGGGAAGATTTCCCTACCAAGCCCGTGCGCGCGCGCACATGCCCAGCGCGCGGCTCTCCGCGGCCCCAGGGGAAGGTGGGGGCGGTGCGAGCACCACCCACCACCCTGGCGGAGCTAGAGCTAGCGGGACCGCAGAAGGTCTGGCGGTCAGGCGGACTCTCTGAAGCTAAGGGAAGGACTTGTACCCCTTTGAGGTGTGTGGATGCGGAGGAAATGGAAGGAAATCCTGCGCCCAGGACTGTTTGCGTAAAAGGGCTGGCAGTGAAGGGGAAAGAGAAATTGCAGTAGATGTGTGTGTTTCTGTCGCTGCAGTAGTGGCGAAAGCCCCAGACCTACCTCTTTGGGGTGCTGAAGAAGAGGAGGACAGTATAGAGGGAATCCCTGGAAAGATACCAGATTTGTTGATGCGCTTGTCCCAATTCCCGAACTGTGACGTTGGGAGATTTTGCACAAGCGCGGATGGACACACACAACAAACACAAACACATAACCCGCAGGGATTTTTTTTTCCACTTTAAAATTTTGATGTTTAGAAGCCTGGGTCTAATACCTGTTGAAAAGTGAGTAAGTGGAGAGGAAGAAGGCGAAAGAAAGGGTGCTATTTATCTCACAGTGCTCATATACTGAGTCTTTCGATAGTGACCGGGCACCAACGCAGTCTGTGTAGCATCAAAGGGTGCGGCAAGTGAGCTAAAGAAGTTACACTACCGTGTTTCCAGGATGCTTGAACAGACTTCAACTGCCCAGGAGTGTAGAGGGTCTTTTTGCTGAGTGGCAGGGAGAGGAGAGAGACCCAACAGAGGGAGGAGAGCAGAGCAGCAGCTCTTCTGTCAGGGTTGGGCTGACTGCGGGAGCCAGAGCGCATAGCCCTGCTACCTCTGGGGATTCAAAAAAAGAACCGCTGGCAGACTTGCCTACTCTTTGAGAGGGAAGTGTGGTCGAGGAATCTGTTCTCTGAGATGATGGCCAAGGACTCCAGGTGGCCAGCACATTAAAAATCTAGGCTCAGATGAAATAAATCCATGAATCTTAGGTAGAAAACTTTGAGGTTCAGCAGGAAAGACATTGAGACTTGAGAACATTAAAAGAATCAGAGATGGTGAGAATTAGCCCATTTGGGAAACATATGGGGGAGTGTTTATCTCCCTGCCTTGAAAGAAGACTGTATGAAAGGAATTTTTGAGGGGAGAAAGAAGACAGCCGTTTGCCAGATATGAACAGATCCAGCCTAGTGAGAATTCAGAACCGTGGACAGAGACTTACCTTTGGTGCTCTGGTAAGGGATTAACTGCCAGCAGGAGAGCTCTCTCTAGAAGTCTTAGCAGATTGCCTAAATTTTTATACCACGACCCATTCATTTATTAATGAATTCTTAAAATATTAAGCTAGTGTCTTATATATGTCGAGTATCATGGTAAGATACTGGGGGTTTGTAATTTAAAAAGGCATAATCTTTGCTTTCAAAAAGCTTACAGACTATATATCCCTTAAGACCACTGCCAGTGAAATCATAATTCCTTATCTTCCTTTCAACCTGTACACTAACCTTCAGCACTCTAAAATTTTAATTTTTAATCTGCCCAAAGTGCTTTTTAAAAAATCTCTTGAGGATATTTGTTAGTAAAACAATAGTTATAGTTTAATGTATTGATTGATTTCTCTGAGCCAGGTACTGCCCAATTTGCTGCATCAATTATCTCAGCATAACATCATGTCTTAGTCCATTTGTGCTGCTGTAACAAAATACCATAACCTTACTGGGCATGGTTGGGTACATCTGTTACCTGAGCTACCCTGGAGGTGGAGGCAGGGGGATCACATGTTGGAGACCAGCCTGGGCAAAATTAGTGAGATCCTTGGTTAAAAACAAAAGTGCTGGGATTCAGTTTAGTGGTGGAGCACTTCATGTGTGTGGCCCCAGGTTCCATCCCCAGCATCACACACACACACACACACACACACACACACACACACACACAGGGTAATTTATAAATAATAGAAATTTATGTCTTACAGTTCTGGAGATTGAAAACTGCAAGGCTGAGATGTCTACATTTCAGCATTCACTGTTTGGTAATGCTCTTCTTTCTATGTTCTCACATAGCAGAAGGTGGAAGGTCAAAAGGACCTAAGAATGTTCTCTCCAGTCCTTTCATAAGGGTAAATACTCTGTATTTATGAAGGTGGAGTCCTCATTATGTAATTACATACCCAAAGGCCTGCCTCTTAATACTAGTACAATCAGGATTATGTCAACAGGAGATAAACATTATTATCACTTCCATTTTTCAGATATAAAACAAACTCAGAATAGTTATTTGCCAAAGGTCTCTCAGCTATTACTCAGTTGTGTAGAGATCGTAGCTGGACAGTCTAAACTTAGAAGCCTTGGCATACCATTTCCCTGTGTGTTTTGTGAAATGAAAAGTGTCATCTTTGGGAGGGCAGAAGTGCACGCATGGCAAGAGGAAAATGTGATGGTAGATTCTGCAGTCTAAAACCTAAGTGCCTGAGAATTGGGAGAAGGAAATAACCTTGGGAATTAGTAATAATCCAAAACATTTCCAGTGAAAGAACTTGAGTGCCTGCTAAACACCAATTTTGTTTCTTTTTTCTTGGAATAAAGAAACAAATGCAACAGTCATCTAACATTTTGATTCCATACTAGCATTTTCTGCAATAAAAAAAGCCCTCTGGAAGGCTAAAAAAATTAACTACCACGTTTATTTTAATGACCTTATAACTATATCTTGGTGACTCCAAAAATTTTTCTCCACTATACCTTCACCTTTCGTTCATCCCTATTTTTCTTTATTTCTTCATTACAAATACGATGCAAATGTCTTATTCATTTAGCAGCGTCTTGACCAAGTTCACGGATGGGAGACAAATCCAGTTGCCTCAGAGAATGCAGGAGAATTGCAGTTCCACTCCCCAGAAGAGGATAATATTGAATTTCTTTGGACCTTTCTTTACCTTCTCTTTCACTCAACCTCATCAGAGAAGAAGTCACTTATCTGATTGATAAAATTTGTAAGAGATCACCATTTAATAGGACATGTTTCTCAGAGGTCAGGCACACTGTAGTAGAAAATAAAGGAGATCCAGTTCTCATCTTCATTCTTTCATTCTCTCAGTAAGCCTGCATTCATGCATGTTGAGTTCACTATGTGTTCCAGGTGTAATTCTGTTCTCCACATCATGTATACCTTGAGAAGAACAGTGAGAGTAGAGTTTGTTTTCTTGCAATAACTGTGCTTCTCTGGCTGGTCACAATCATCCATGTGTATGGAAATAATATTTAGAGCTTTGTAGACCCAATCATCTTTATATGTGATTTTCTAGTTATGGAGTTGGAGGAAGTAACTGGAAAATGCCATTTTAATCTATATCCAAATCATTATATCCAATGTAAGTGTATATATGTGTTTATATATGTGTGTGTATATGTAAATGTACATATATATATGAATATATATATGTATGTATATATACACACACAACTTTGGAATATATCAAGCTCAATATAGAGAATATTCCATACCAATCAATTTAGGAAATGTTTATGTTTTTAATTGCTTGCAGACTAGAAGGAGAGAGAAGTTAGTGATTAAGATAGTGCTAACTTCTATCAGAAGGTTGAAATTACTCAAATAGAAGAAAGAGTATACCTTGTTCATGGATGGGAAATCTCAATATTGTTAAAATAACAATTTTACCCAAACTGACTTGTACAGTCATTATTATCCCAATCAAAATCCCAGCAAAAGTCAGGTAGGGTGGTGCATGCCTGTAGCCTTTAATCGCAGCATTCCAGAGACTGAGGCAGAAGGATTATAGTTTGAGGCCAGCCTGTGCTACATAGTAAGATCCTGTCTTAAGAAAAAAAAACAAAACAAAAATCAAATTTTAATGAAATGAACAAACTGTTTCTAAAATGTGTCTGAAGGACCTAAAATAGATAAGACAGTTTTGAAAAAGAAAAGCAAAATTGGAAGGTTTAACTATCTGACTTCAAGACTTATAATAAATGCATTGAAATAGAGAAATAAACAATGGCACAAAATAGAGAGTCCAGAAATAGAATGACACATACGAAATCAGTTGATTTTCACAAATGGGAAAATGCATTTTCTTAGAGGAAGAATAATCTTTTTATCACATTGTCTTTTCAACATTTAGATACCGTTTTCAAGAAAGCAGAAAGATAAAATGGAATGTATACTCTGTCTTATGTAAAATAATCAAAACAGATCACAGATAGAAATTTCCTCCTAATTCTATAAAACTACAAGAAGAAAACACAGGAAAAAATCTTTGTAAGCTTGGATCAGGCAAGGTTTTCCTAGGTATAACACTAAAAGCATGAGTTATAAAAGAAAACCAGTATAAATTCACTCAAATTACCTATGCTCTTCAAAAGACACTTAGTGTTAAGAGAATAAAAAGACAAGTCACAGTCTGAGAAAGAATGTTTTCAAAAGTGATATATGTCACAAACAACTTTTAAGCAGAACATGTAAAGAAGGCTCACAACTCAATCAAAAAACAATTTAAAATGGGCAAATTTAGACACTTTATCTAAAATGTGTGTATAAGAGAGAGAGAGAAGAGGGAAAGGAGGGAGAAGGAGGAGGAGAAAAAAGGAAGAAGAAGGAGAAGGAGAAGAAAGAGAAGGAGAAGAAGAAGGAGGAAGGCAGGTATGGTGGTACACCCCAGTAATCCCAGCACTTGAGAGAATGAGTCAGGAAGATCAAGAATTACAGTCCACACTGGACCACATAGTTTTAAGGTCTCAAAAAAGGAAAATAAAAGAATATAGAATAATACTCCTCATCATTATCCATTAGGGAATTGGAAATTAAAACTACAATGAGATAGCCAGTATGCCTATATTTGTATGCAAATACTAACCACACAAACAGAGTGAACAACCACACTCTCATACATTGCTTCTAGGAATGTGAGCATGTGCAATATTTAGGAAAAAGTTTAAATTTTTTTTTAAATTAAAACGTTTAAACCCTATGATTGAGCCATTTCACCCCCATGTATTTATCCTAGAGAAATAAAAGCTTGTGTCTATACAAAGACTTCTGTTCAGAATTTCACTGTCCTTTATTTATAATAGTCATAAACTAACAGCAACCTAAATGTCCACAAGAAGTTAATGGATAAAGAAATGTAGAATTATATAGCAGTAAAAATATAATGAA